AAAAAAAAAAAAAAAAAAAAAAAAAAAAAAAATGAAATGTGCTCAGCAGCTGCAAGGCCACCTTCCTTTCCAGGAGAGGTGTCTCAACTTAAGACTATACAGGCAGAGGGCCAGGCAAGGTGTCTTGTGGGTTTAGTCAGACCTACAGACAGACAGACCTGATCCCAGCTCTGCCACCTACCAGCTGTGTGAGACCAGGTGAGTCACTTCACTTTACTGAGCCTCAATTTCTTGTTTATAAAATGGGGTGAGGCCACTCTGCAGAGTTCTAGTGAATATTCGTGCTAAGCTACACAGTGCTCAGAACACAAAGGCCTTTGAAATTGGTGGCTGTTAATATTATTTAATTAGCCCAAGATGTGTATTATCTTCCTAAAATGTATATTCTCTTGAACACTTGTGTGGGGGCAAGACAGTCTGCATGGTGACCAGGCAATATTCTGTGTGTCAATACTGTGCTCAATGCCACAACACCTGAGATGAAGTGTGGGTGGCAGGTGGCAGCTGTAAGGGCAGTGACCCCAGCATTACCTGAAGCCTCTGGACAGGATCAGGCTCCTGGCTGATACTCCAGACCCTGGTGGAGAGATCGTTCGTGACGTCAAGTTGCTCTTTGCAAGAGTCAACTTGTTCCCTGTACCCCTGGAGGGCCAGCTGTGTGTTTTTATCAATGAATTTCTTGGCCGCTGTTTCCTCTTCATCAAGTAGTAATCTGAGTTCAGTGAATATCCCCTTCAGCCAGGTTTTACTTGACTCTGCATGAGCCTAAAAACAGAAAAACCAGTTGCAGATGATACGTTTATCAATTGGGAAACCCAGAATAATCAACATGAAAATAATTAGAATGTCTGAAACATAAGTTCAGCAAAGTGGCCAGTCAGATACAAGATCAATTTATAAAAAACAAAGCTTTCCTAAGTACCAGCCATCACCAATCATAAATTGCATGGAGAAGTAAAGATCCTTTTGAAAATGGGACAAAAAAATCGCAAAATATGTGGAAATAAACCTAATAAAAAGCCATATTAGTGACTGGGAAGGTTCATTACTCTAAAGTCACTATTTGTCTCTAAATTAGACAATCAAATTGGAATTTGATAAAACTCCAATCAAAATCTTAACATGCAGATTAAAAATTATAAAATTATTAGGAGAGAGAACAGGCATAAGAAAAGCCAAAATTGCTTTAAAAAAATCAATGAAGAGAAATCTGATAACACATTATCTGCCTTATCTGCTAACAAAACAAATGATAAATCTACAGGATCTAAAACCATGTGGCTCAAACACAGACAAAAAGGTCAAAAGCACAAAATAAAGAGTTTTTAAAAGAACTCAAATTATGGCCAGGCATGGTGGCTCATGCCTGTAATCCCAGCACTGCGGGAGGCTGAGCAGGTGGACAGCCTGAGGTCAGGAATTTGAGACCAGCCTGGCCAACACGGTGAAACACCATCTCTGCCAAAAACACAAAAATTAGCTGGGTGTGGTAGCAGATGTCTATAATCCCAGCTACTGGAAAGGCTGAGGCAGGAGAATCCTGTGAACCCGGAGGTGGAGGTTGCAGTGACCTGAGATGGCGCCATTGTACTCCAGCCCAGCCTGGGCAACAAGAGCAAACCTCCGTCTCAAAAAAAGAACAACAACAAAAAAAGAACTCAAATTATATACAGAGAGATGTGTGTATGTATGTGTATCTGTGATGTAACAGTGGCGTTTTAGAATAATTTTTTGTATTTTTGTAGTAAAAATATGAAAATAAAAATAATTAAAATAATTTGAGATTTTCCACAATAAAAGGTTAAGGAAAACAAACAAAAGAGAAAGTCCAGTTAAACTAAAGCACTGTACATAAAGTCCAAAGAATAAATCAATTAGGTGATATACAGAACAATTTTTATTTATTTTTTGACATAGAGTTTCACTCTTGTCCAGGCTGGAATGCAGTGATCTCGGCTCACTGCAACCCCTGCCTCCCAGGTCCAAGTGATTCTCCTGCCTCAGCCTTCCAAGTAGTTGGGATTACAGGTACGCGCCACCACGCATGGCTAATTTTGTATTTTTAGTAGAGACGGGGTTTCATCATGTTGGTCAGGCTAGTCTCAAACTCCTGACCTCAGCTGATCCGCCCACCTCAGCCTCTCAAAGTGCTAGGATTACAAGTGTGAGCCACCAGGCCCAGCCCAGAAAATAGTTTTTGATCATTAGATTGGAAGATTTTTAAGAGATTGAGATGCAGTCTGTAAGGGTATATGAAGTAGGGCATTTATATAAACTGTGGGTGGTAGGGTCTATCGGTACTTCACTTTTAGAGGGCAATATGACAATAGCTATCAATTTTTTTTTTTTTTTTTTTTTTGAGAATAAGTTTTGCTCTTGTTGCCCAGGCTGGAGTGCAATGGCAAGATCTCAGCTTACTGCAACCTCCGCCTCCTGGGTACAAGTGATTCTCCTACCTCAACCTGTGGAGTAGCTGGGACTGCAAGTGGCTATTATCACACCTGGCTAATTTTGTATTTTTAGCAGAAACAGAGATTCACTGTTGGCCAGGCTGGTCTTGAACTCCTGACCTCAGGTGATCTGCCTGCCTCAGCCTGCCAAAGTGCTGGAATTACAGGCGTGAGCCACTGCGCCTGACCTCAAAGTTTTAAATGCACATATTCTTTCATGCAGCAGTTCCTCTTACTTAGATCCTGGAACATGCTTTCACATGTCCATGAAGATTTGTGTACCAAGATTCTCAGTACATAGCTTTTACACATAGGGACTAGAGAATAGAATTAGCTGGGGATGGTGGTCGGTGTCTGTAATCCCAGCTACTTGGGAGGCTGAGGCTTGAGAATCACTTGAGCCCAGGAGACGAAAGTTGCAGTGAGCTGAGATCAGGCCACTGCACTCCAGCATGGGCGACAGAGTGAGACTCCGACTTAAAAAAAAAAAAAAAGAATAGAGAATAGTTGTGGAATCTTAAGGATCTAAAAGAAAACTGAAAAATGGGCTTCACTGGCAGAAACAGAAACAAGGATGGTGGGGAGCGAGTGTTCTGAGAAACAAGGTCAACCACAAACAGCTCGTTAGCACTCATGCATCCTGTTACAGGCGCTCAGCCCACAGTCCACCTGCACCCAGGCATCCTGTCTGCAAGCATTCAGTTCAAGCAGCAAACCTTCGCAAACTCCCTCTCCAGTCCCCTGCCTTCTTTCTGCCGCCTCGCCCGCAGCTCTCTTGCAATGTTTCTCTCCCTTTTCTCCAAATAAATCTGCTTTTCTAAACTCAATACTGTCTTGGTAAATTATTTTATCCACCCTGTGCACCAGCCTCAGACAGTTGTTAACCATGAAATATTTGGTACAATTTTCAATATGGGATGTGTATATAAGTTAATTATGTAAATTGTGCTACATTTGTACAATGAAATAATGTATAGCGATTACCAAGAATGCATTGTGCTGATGCGTGCTACAACATGGATGAACATTGAAGACATCACCCCTAGTGAAATAAGCAAGACACAAAAGGACAAATGATTTATCATTCCACTTACATGAAATATCTAGACCAGGCAAATTCATAGAGACAGAAAGTAGAGTCGAGGCTACCAAGGGCTGGGAGAGGGGACATGGGGTGTAATTGCTTGATGGTTTCAGAGTTTCTGGTTGGGATAATGAAAAAGTTTTGGAAATAGACACAGGGGATGACTGTGCAACATTGTGAATATAATTCAAAGCACTGAATTGAATATTTAAAAATGGTTAGAATGGCAAATTTTATGTTATATATATTTTATCACCATATAAAAACAAAGAAGAAAATATAACAACAAAAACAACGCAGTAGGTCGGGCGTGGTGACTCACGTCTGTAATCCCAGCATTCTGGGAGGCCGAGGCAGGCAGATCACTTGAGGTCAGGAGTTTGAGACCACCTGACCAACGTGGCAAAACCCCATCTCTACTAAAAATGCAAAAATTAGCCAGGCGTGGTAGTGCATGCCTGTAATCCCAGCTAGTAGGGAGGCTGAGGCAGGAGAATTGTTTGACCCCAGGCAGCGGAGGTTGCAGTGAGTCGAGATCACACTACTGCACTCCAGACTGAGCGATAGAACAAGACTCTGCCTCAAAAAAACAAACCAAAAAATGCAGTAGACCTATGTGTCCTAGCATAGAAAGTTCTCCAAAAAACAGGTGAAAAAGAACAAGCTGCAGAGTAATACATGCAAGATGATCCCAATTTATGTAAAACATAGTAAAACAAAACCCGTATATGGAGAGATGTGTGCATCTATATATTTGCAAGTGCAATTAAAATGTCTGTTAGTAGTGGTCATGTTTGGTAAGAGGCATGGACTGGCAGATGGAGAAAGAAGGGCTCTCACTTTGTACTTTATATAGTTCCATACTATACCATTGCTTAAATTTTTAAAAATGACCATTTGTTCATGTATTATTTGTACACTGAAAAAAAAAAGACACAGGTCAGCCCCCTTCCTCAGCCCAAACATCTGTACAATCCACATAGCAGAATGACCCCAGCACCCAGCCAGTCACGAGGGGTAGGCAGGCTCCTGTGATACCATGTCCTCTTCTTAGGGGGACAGCATGTGGTTTGGCAGCAAACAGGAGATGAGTTCTCTAAATCTGTGTTTCCTATCCAATGCTCCAGGCTGTGGATAGGTTCAGAGGCTAGCTCATACCACTGGCCTATGGATTATACTGGCTTTAAGCTAGCCTTGGAATTAGTCCACATTTATATGGTTGCAATGGGTCACTGAGCTTGGACACAAATGTGTTTTACTGAATGTCCAAATAAAGAAAATGTATTTCGAACTCTTGATTTATGAACGCATGTTGAGGTAACATAAGTACACAGAGGACCTTTATAGAGAAACCAAGAGAGCAAATATCTTCTCCCAACCAAGTATAGTAATCAGCCTATTAACAAGAATATAAGCGGTTTTTATAGATCCACTTTGTTAAGCAGAAAATCCAAAAGAAGCTTCATGACACTATACCTCGTTCTAACTCTCAGCACAAGGATAACCAGTATGGAAAACAGCCACCAGAAAACTTCATGTGTAAGCAGATGAGGCTGCTTATGCAATAAGGTCAGGAAGGGGTAGAGAGAGAGAGGGGAGGGAGGGCAGAGGGAAAGAGAGCGAGAGAATATCCCGGCCATGAAACAAGGAAGTACGCTATCTGGTTTGGGTCCCCTTGGTTCAAAATGAAACTGGATCCCAGCTGAACTGAGCTGGAGTTTGAAGAGAGCTGGTGGCTGGGTGAAGGCCTGATGGAGTCTAGCTGTGCAGAGTCTAGGACTGTGGAAGAGAAAGAAGCTGACCTGACAGGAAGCCCTGGTTAGGGGGAGCTGAGGGATTTTGCATACAGAGTGTAGGCTGCTATGTGAAGCCACCTCTGAGTCCCGTGGAGAGTGAGGAGCCCAAAGGAGGGCGCTGCTCTGGTGAAAACTCAGTATGACTTCCAACAACCCTGCCCTGAATGCCTCTCACGAGGTGCACCACCAGGGGAAGGGGCGTGCTGTCCAACCTTGCCCAGGGCACGCTAGTCTGGGGACTGTTTAGACTCTAATATGGTGGCAGTGGCAGGCAGGAAGAGGCAGGGAGCGGCCTGCCTGCCCTGCAGGGGGATGGACACCAGTGGCATTGTCAAGGTCAGCAGCATGGCCTGCCAGGGTCCCCATCTTTTCATTCCCAGTCTGGCAAAAGCTGGTTCATGTCACCCCACTGGTCCCTTGATTCTAAACCATGGCTCGGTTCCTACAGTTCCTGTGGGTCACAGAGAAAGGCACAGAGCCAGCAACTGAGGCTCTTTATTCCACCCACAGGGGTTCTGAGTCTGGTGCCAGGCTGGGCCCTTGTGTCTTAGCTCCCCTTCCTGCCCATTCCCGGCTCTGCTCTATAGGGCAGAGGGGCTGAGCCCTGCACACTGCATTTCAGGATCCTCCTTCAGGCTGGCTTTAGTCAATGGGAGGGGGAACTAGAGGAAGATCAGGGGCTGAGGGCAAGGGAGCAGCCAGGGCACCCCTCCCACCAGGACAGTGGCTCCAGGAATGGCTGCCTCCATCTTGCAGCTCCCAAGGACAGGCCCATTCTGGTTCCAGCTTCTGTCCAGGTGGCACTGGCTCCTGCACTCTGCTAACACCAGCCCAGATAATTTTTGTATTTTTAGTAGAGACAGGGTTTTACTATGTTGGGCAGGCTAGTATCGAACTCCTGACCTCAGAGGATCCGCCCATCTCAGCCTCCCAAAGTGCTGAGATTACAGGCATGAGCCATTGCGCCCGGACTCAGCTTTGACATTCTAAATCTCTAACTATATCTGTATTCAACTGACACTAACCAATCATATATACATATATATAAAATATATATATAATATATAAATATATAACATGTTATATATCATATGTCATATAATATGAAAGGTTATCGCTGGAGTGGGACTGGCGCTTTATAAGGAGTGGAAGAGAGACCTGAACTAGCATGTTAAAAGTGCTCAGCCAGCCGGGCGTGGTGGCTCATACCTGTAATCCAAGCACTTTGGAGGCCAAGGTGGGCGGATCACCTGAGGTCAGGAGTTCAAGACCAGCCTGACCAACATGGTGACACCCCGTATTTATATTAAAAAAAAAAAAGAAAATAAAATAAAAAAGTAAAATAAAATAAAAGTGCTCAGCCCCCTCACCATTCGATGTCCTGTGCCACCTTGGGACCCTTCAGAGAGTCTGTGAATATAATATAATATATATAATATTATGTATATTACTATGAGAGTATCAAAAGCTCACTGTATAAAATTTGGAAGATTCTGAAAGAAGAACATAGCCACTCTGCTATTTTGTCATCTAATCCCGGTTTGAGTAAAAAGTTAGGGTAGAAGGCCGTGTGTTGAATTTTTCCTACACCTGGATGTACTGGCCCCCGTTTTAGTCTGTTTTCTATTGCTTGTAGCAGAATACCGGAAACTAGGTAATTTATAATGAAAAGGAATTTATTCTTACAATTATGGAGGCTAAGTCCCAGATCAAGGAGCCACATCTGGTGAGGGCCTTCTTGCCGGTAAAGACAGATAGAGTTTGGATATTTGTCCCCTGCCCCTCCCAAATCTCATGTTGAATTGTCATCTCCAGTGTCGAAGGTGGGGCCTGGTGGGACATGATTGGATCACAGGGGTGGATTTCTCACGAACGGTTTGGCACCACTGGAGCTGTCCTCACGGTGGTGAGTGAATTCTCACAAGATCTGGCTGTTTAGAAGTGCACGGTTCCTCCCCACCTCTTGCTCTCGCTCTTGCCGTGTGAAGCGCCTGCTCCTGCTTATCTTCACCATGAGTGAAAGCCTCCTGGGGCCTCCTCAGAAGCCGAGCAGATGCCAGCACCACGCTTCCTGCACAGCCTGCAGAACTGTGAGCCAATTCAAGCACTTGTCTTTATAAATTACCCAGCCTCAGTTATTTCTGTACAGCAATGCAAGAATGGCCTAATACATAGACTCTGCATGGTCCCAAGGTGGCACGGGGCATTGGATGGTGAGGGGGGCTGAGCACTCTAACATGCCAGTTCAGGTCTCTCTTCTGTGATAACCCCTCTCCAGTGATAATCCTTTCATCCATTACTCCAGGAATGGATTAGTCCATTCATGAGGGCTCTGCCCTCATGACCCGATCAAGATCTCATGTCCCAGTCGCCTCTTCAATAACCTCTCAATACTGGCACATTAGGGATTACATTTCAATATGAGCTTCAGAAAGGACAAACATTTAAATCATGACACCGCCTGAGAAGACATGATGGGAGAGGTAATCAGCCTATTAACAAGGACATAAGAGAAAATCACTTAATGGGTGTCCGCTGGGAATTAATGACCAAGTCCTTAATTGTTCTCTGGAAGGAACTGGTTGGGCCTGGTTATTGGCTTCTGAACAACAGACTTTGGACCATGTATACATTTTACTGATTTTCATATGTTTACAGGCCTGCTTTATGGATTAGTTTTCAGGCAAATGAGTGGACTTTCCCCTAGTGCTGCTTCTATGTAAATAAGAATGGAGCCACACAGTTGCCCCAGACCTCTCTGCCACAAACTACGCCTGCCATAATTCAACAGAAGGCATTGGGATACTTACACACGTTTGTGCTTATTGGAGATGCATCACTTCTAGGATTGTGTCCTGAAGGAAATAAATCAAGGTGCCAAAAATATTTACCAAACTGTCTAGAAATTAGGTAACTACCTTAATGAATCACAGGAGATTCATATAATGGAATACACAGACTTTAATACTGACATTGAAAGAGAACCTTTAGGCCGGGCGCGGTGGCTCAAGCCTGTAATCCCAGCACTTTGGGAGGCCGAGGAGGGTGGATCACAAGGTCAAGAGATCGAGACCATCCTGGTCAACATGG